AAATGATTTTGACGTTCCTACTTTCGACGTCACTTCAGCTCGGACACACACGGATAATATCGAAAGTAGGAACGTCAAAATAATTATAATATTTTCTAGATAGATATTTTCTAGGTAGAACTGAATGAGGTACATTTCGCAGGATTTTTTCAGAACATATTAAGCTTTGCCAATGAATAATTATGCATATAAGTACTGTAGAGCACAAGTTTTACACCTTTGACGCACCATGACTCAAGAACTGTCCATTATTAAATCTAATGTTTATAACATTTTTTGATATACTGTCTATATACATATTCAGATCAGTGAACTATGTTATACGTGAAAATCAATTCAATTCATCTAAATTTTCGACTGCAATTTTTTAATGGCTTATCGAGTTGTCCAAATTTGCAAAGATTATAAACTCTCTTTCAGTGACGATGATTCTTATTTTAAATATTATAATAAATCTCGCATTAGTAAAGAAAGTTTCTCTCCAATATTTTCAATTTTAAGTGAAAATCTGATACATGGAGAAAATCAATGAAAGTCAACATGTTATCTAAATGTAATTTATTAAAACTATTATCAAATAAAATTAATTATATATCCGCTGTTAACATTACGTCATATAAATAGTTTAATTGTAGAAGGTTTCTGTTTTAACTTTCATGAAACTCTCTTAGTTCTTACAACGTTTCCAGTATGATCCGTAGTTGACGCCACGTGCTGTCTCACAAACTCTCGTGTACCGATCCCAATGTCGATAAAGTCACATGCTGTATCACAGAATACAGCCTCTGACTTATTCAACGATTGATAATACAAATTCTGATATAACATATCAGACAACATGGGACAATAAGATCTAATAGACGCCGTTACGTCTTTATGATATCTTTTGGACACGAATATTGTAGAATATTTTTCTAACGTATTCAAATTACACATGATGTATCTCTTTGTGTATTAATACAAAAGTATTTAATAAAACGTAATTTCTTCTGTTTTTCAAAGTCTAAAAATATTTTGCGAAATATACTTATTATACGCAATATATTTTTTAAATCAGTCAGATTGATTAGCAAGAGATTTTTATTAATTCGACGATAAAACAGTTCGTATGCAAACGTTGTAAATGCCTTGCTACCAGAGACTCGCCATTTATCTTCCGCGCCGAGAGACACTGCAGTAAAGTGAGCGGAAAAAATCTAATTTGGCCACTCGACGAACAATTAAATTTTTACGGTGCGGATGAGAAAGGGCCAGGAAAGTAAAAATGCGTCAGCACGTTCCTATCCCCGTAAATTCCACTCCCGTGTCGCTGATACGGGTAACGAAATTGCGGCATGGAAAACAAAAAGTAGGAGGATCCGAAAAAAAAGATATCAATTCTACGAGCGTGAAATTCAAATTGTTCTTTTACGTCGTTTCACAAGAGAAAAAAACATATTTAACGAATACTGCAAACTTACATATTGGATAAAATAATTTTTATCGGTAATACATTCTAATCAATAATTATATATCAAGTACCTACTTTTTTCTTTTAAAAATAGATTACGATATATTAGGTGTAGTAAAAAGTCATCGCGTATTTTTAAAAGACATCTATCAGTAAAAATCGCAATTACTTTCTTACCAACAATATAAATATATCTTAATAGAGTAAAGTTTCAGCTTTAAAAATCTCTTTTTTAAATTATACGATACGACAATTTTTAATGAAGTTATGAGCAATTAAAATCAAAATAATTCTTTTATTTAATCCGCGATAACTCAGTAATGAAAAGTCGTAGGAATATTTAAAAAAAAACGATTTTGTAGGGAAAGTATCAAGCTTTCACGATATGTAATCGAAAATTTTCTCAAATTCGTTTTGGACACGTTACAAATCCACAAAGTGAGAAGAAAATTTTTCGTCTTTTTCAGCTCGTAGTTTTTGGTATGTAAAAATGATCAAACTCATATAAACTTAAAAAATGTGATAAGCTTTTAAAAGTAGAGATTTCAAGCTTTAAAATCCTTTTTTTAAAATTTGAATTTCATTCATTATTGACGAAGATATTGTATATACAACTTTGAACTAAAAAATACGCGATGACTTTTTACTACACCTAATATAAAATTGTGTACTATTTTATTCCGATAACTAAGTATTGTTTTTATACTTGAACAATACTATTATTATCCGTTGATTGGTGAATTAGCAATCATGCATGAGAAAAAAAAAAAGAATGTCAAGGCGTTCGCGAGCAATCTCAATTGATTACCTAACGAATTAATTCTGTCATTATCTTCGCGCCTACGAGATTCCGACCTTGCGATCAATTTATCTTTGGTATGTCTATGGTTAACAATGCGCAATAAAGACAGCAGCTAGTCAGAGGTGGACGAGGCTCTCATTACACTTTCGCCCGATTGCTCGACGTTTCTCTTCTATCGTCGTAATTGATGTCATTTTTCATTAAATGCGTAACATGACGTAACGCATGATCAATCACTATAGTATCATTAAATCGGGATTTTTCTCTTTGAGAATATTTATGATTAACATTCTATTTTGTAAAATTATCTCACAAATTATTATATTATATATCTACGTTATCGCTTGTTTTTATTATAAAATGTATACCCATTTAAAACTTTATTGAAAAAAGATATATTATATAAAAGTTCTTGTTACTACCTCACGAGAAGTGACACTTCTGCGAACGCGTTATGGCATTTACTTGAATTAATATATTATCACGCATTTATATGTTCACGAGCGTTTATACTTAAAGCATTATCCTTCCTTTTCAAGTCGATGGAGACAAAGAGGCAAAATATTCCTTGACGCAATGTTACATGTACAATATGTACATAGCCATTATTGTCAACGATAGATCATTGTCATTCCATGAAAGTATTGTTCCCTGTAGAAATTACAGAGGCGATAAGTGTAGGCTGTGCGTTAACGGCAAATTTAAGTGGGACGTTTGAATATTCTCGAACGATTTGCCCGATTAGGAGCATTATCGAGGCGTCGATGTAAAGAACTCTCTCATGTTTACGTAATGAAAGTTTTAACTTTTTAATACGCGATATTTCTTCGGATATTTCGACTAGATATTTCTTGAATGGAAGATTAAAAAGGGAAGAAAGACAAAATATCTAATGGGAAAAGAACGTGCTAGCGCTCGAGACTCACCTCGAACATTGCGGTCCCGTTCTAGTCGAGCAGTTCTAGGTAAGGATCTGCTTTTAGACTCACCTGCAACAGAAAATGATCATGTTTATATTATTTGTGCTGTTAGGCATTGAAACATTGTAAACTGCAACGATTATTAATTTTCTTAAAAATAATTTCATTATAAAAATCAATTCTTGATCTATTACGAAATATTATAAAACCCTCTTCTAAAAAAAATTTATATTTACGATACCATATACATATTTAATCTTGTTAAGAAAAAGATCTGTCGAAATTATTGAACATTACACATTAATAATGAGAAACACTCACAACATTTTTCATTCTTCTTAGCGACATATAGTAGAGAAATATCGATATTTTATTTTTAATTTTTTTTCCAAACTAACGGTGTGTTTCTTGAACTTATTTAATTAGAAATCTTTGTAGAAAATGTATCAAATAATTCAATTTTCTTTATCTGCAAATTTGTATTATTATTATTAAAATATATGTAATAGAGTAAAGCCTATTATGGGATAATATGATATACTCCTGATATGAGATAATGGAGACAGGGGTTCCTGCTAAACTAATAAACGCATGTGTTTCGCTCTATCATGAACTGTTTACTCTTAGTGTGAAATCTATTTAGTAGAAAATTCATTATTAGATCATGCGTATAATCGTTGGAAAAAAAAACTTGTGAAATTGGATGTTGT